TAATGTGGGGCTCTGCACGTATTGCTGGGAGGTGCTTGAACCAAGTTGTTTATGTGTCGAAAAATCTCGGGAAGCAGCTGCAATTGCCATTTTATCTCGGTTCCACAAACGGCTCTATGGGGAAGACGGAGAAAATGTGGCTTCTGATGAAGATTACATGTGGTTTTTGTTACGTAGGGCTTGATTTTCAGGAGGATGACGAGAAGGCTTCGATGAGGCCTAATTAACCCGCTAGGGATCGCAGGATTTAGGAATGTTAGTTTTGCTCCACAGGGCTTGGGCCACCAGTTATCCGAATAATGTATGGCACCCTATGCAACGAGACCACACAAAGCTTTCAGAAGACAAAAAGGCCCGCGATCTCTGTCGGGTACCCCATTAATCATTACAATCATGGGAAACAAGGTTGTGCATGCGCTGACTGTTCATACGGACAAGACTGTATCCATGCTTTTGTGAGTATTACCATGATTGCTCTCATTCGGGTTGTATATTACTGTTCGCGATAGGGTTGTCCAAGCCGTCCTAGGACGTTTTCTGCTGCGTCTGGTTCGGCGACCGCCCATCTTTACGTTATGACATACTTCATGTTCTGAGGTATTCTTCCGGCTTTACTTATGTCCCCCTGGAGGGCGAGTAGTGTTACTTGGAGGGCTGTCTATAGGGGAACCTCAATTGTGAGAAACACTGATCATTATACTTCAATGATCAAAGTACCATCGTCATTGATCCATGAGGCCGCTGTTACGTCAAAGATATTAATTGCGACTGTAAGAAGCATGGCAATGTAATGCTCAAGCCCCAGAAGCCTGGGGGGCGGTCTGCAGCGGCACCTTCCATTGTGACCGCGATGGGCGACAGCACTCCTAGACACGCTCGAGTACGTGCTCGAGTGCGTTCGAGTAATTACGCTCGCGTGCGCTCTTGTACGCTCGATACTCGCGCACACTCGCCCATATACCCGCGCATACTCGCTCATACCGGCGCATACCCGTGCGTATACTCCCGCATGCTCGCGCACTCTCGCCCATACCCACGCATACTCGCACATACTCGCACATACTCGCGCATACCCGCGCACACTTGCCCATACCCGCGCATACTCGCGCACTCTCACCGATACCTGCGCACACTCGCCCATATTCGCCCATACCTTCACATACCCGCGTATACTCGCGCATACCCTCGCGCACCGGCGCATACCCGCCTATAGCATGTTCGGGAATACTCGCGCCTCAGTGGAATTCTTCGCATGGGTAGTGTCGTCGATTTGCCACCCAAGAGGACACGCGAGGGTCGGGGGGGAAGTAGGTTTGAAAGACGCCACAAGTCCCATTTAGAGGTTTAGAGGGTCGGTTCTGTGCTTTTTGGGGGGCTGTCAATCACCAAAACGGCCCCAAAATCTAAGAGCGTAAGCAACCAGCCCCCACCAGAAACGAGCATCACAAGCATCAGACGGGTTTTGGGCGAAATGAAGGCGAGCATCATGAGCATCAGCCGGGTGTGGGCTGGAACGGGGACACCTAAACATCCCTAAACCCTTAATATCTCTAAACCATCCTAAACCCTCCTCAATCCTAAACCCTTCCATCCCCCCGAACACTGCACCTTCAACCTTTCTATATATATATATATGCAAAGGCATACGAAGGTATAGAGAATTATACAACAATCTATGACACTTGTGTGACATGTGCGAAAAATGAAATAAGTTAGGTGGACGTGAAATGTTTCATTTTAAGCACTTTGAACTGAACATTGAAACTTTGAGGGTCGGAGGTACTTGTTTGGCATAAAGGTCTTAAGGGGGGGGGGGGGGCGAAAATGAAAGTTTCATTTTTGACCTCCCCCTACCCTAAGGCAGGGGCTATGTTCTGATCATTACTTGTCTTGTTTCTCTCCTTGCTATTAAACTGCTAGACAGTGGCTGTTTCCAGCGGGTGTGGTCCGATGGAACTGTAGAAGCAACTGCTTGAAGTGCACTCGTCGTTGTCACCATACGCCATCTGTATGGGAACCCTGTTATTTTCTTCATCACTCAACCCATGTCTCATATGATTCAATGGTACCCGCCTCCCACCCCCTGCCGCAAAGAATCCTTGCTTCTCCCCAAAACGAGCCCAAGTAAGGCTTCAAGTGCGCTCCAAGAAGCCTGGGTTGCTCATCATCTTGGGTGTAGGGGTGCGCGGGGTTGAGAGGGTAAACAACACGATGTGGGTAGGAATGGGGCCCTGACGCTCAGCTGTGAGGCGGCTCACGTACTTCAGCTTGATGAATCTCCGCTTGATTTCAACATCGTTTTGGGTTAGCTTCAAGCACGTTTGGCAGCATAAGCCATAGATAGCTATGGTACGATCACGCAGCTCTAAGCCTTGTTGAGCCCCAAGAATCTCGGCTAGGAAGCGTCTGCAGAGCACGCCGCGAGATGAGCGACTGGTGGCAATCCTAGAGCAGCTTTCAAGCAACCTTTTGGTTGAGTATAGCTTCATAGTACCATGCTCATTACGGCATCATCTGACATCCTCGTCTTTTGGTATTCGTGAACTTCGTGAACTGCAGTACTTCTGGCATACCAGAGTAGGTGCTGAGAGGGCTTTGGGGCTCTGGCTCTTGTGTCTGAATACGTTGAGGTAGGAGCTCCCGAAGGGTTGGTCCCTTCTGTAACTTTGCATGTAGGACAAAAAGGACGTTGGGGGGAGACGGGGGTGTGGAAAAAAAGCCATCCCCAAAACAGGAAGATCTGCAAGCGGGTTGATTCCGTCTTTGGGCCTGGCTTTGTGATTGCCCAGGACCGGGGTTTGAGGCTTTCTGTCATATGAGCTTTCAGTTGAGAGTTCATCTAGAGTAGAAAAGTTGGGTGTCACAAGCATTGTTGTCTTTTATTTACCTCTTGGAACCACAGCTCGTGTAAACAAACTTTGCACAGTGAGACCCTGGTGTTTAACGGGCTCTGGGAATTCACGGGCTCTCGGCATTACGCTAGAATGCCTAAACCCTCATGCCCAAAACCTTAGATGTCCACATACAGTTCCAAGGCCGGAACTCGGCCGAAAATCTTTGAGAAATCAGAATTACACAAAAGAACACCTTGGAGCAGGAGACTCATATCATGCATTATGATCCTAATTAGGGACCAAGATGCCCGTCCTACATGGCAGATTTCACACCCTTCCCACATCTGTAGGCCACACAGAGTTCGAAAGGCGAAACTGAATGCCCCTAATCCCTAGAATGTGAAACGCAGTGCATGCGACGCTGGCCCTCGCTTCTATTGTTACTTCAGTTCTCCTTACTTTGATTGTGATGTTGTGGCTACTCGTCGTCTTATTCTTACAACTTAATTACTGATGTTAGAAGTAGTCACTAACAAGCAGATAGATACATCACTACTGGTAGTGGGATGCCGACAACAACACTACCGACTACCGTAGATTACTGCTACTACTACTACTACTACTGCTACTACTGCTACTACTACTACTACAACTACTACTACTACTCCTACTACTACTACTACTACTACTACTACTACTACTACTACTATTACTACTACTATTACTACTACTACTACTACTACTACTACTACTACTACTACTATTACTACTACTACTACTACTACTACTACTACTACTACTACTACTACTACTACTACTACTACTGTTGATGGACAAAATCCTGCATGACCTCAAGGACCTTAAACTATGGGAATTCTGGTATATTCCTTTTATTGGGTCATGCAGGATATTGTCCATCAGCCGTAGTACTAGTACTAGTACTAGTACTAGTACTAGTACTGCTACTACTACTGCTACTACTACTACTGCTACTACTACTACTACTACTACCACCTACTACTACTACTACTACTACTACTACTACTACTACTACTACTACTACTACTACTACTACTACTACTACTACTACTGTCTCAATTGGACGCGGTGCGAGCGGGCTCAGCACTTTGCGAGCGATTACCGCATGTACACGCACGTTGGCGTGAAGCTGACTCGGTGACCTGACGCGTCTGATTATCTGTCTAGGACTGCGTGGCGATGAGCAAGCTTGTAGACCGATCCACATCACGCTGCACCGTACCACTTAGGGCCGTCACGCACTTGAGACCTCCTCCCCGCTCGACCGACACTGGGTTGCCGGTGACGGGCTTTGTATCCTAGTATGGACCGGCAAGCATCGAGAGTTGCAGAGGATCTCCACGTGACAGGACCACGGTCAGGCCTTGTAGTGGTGTTGCCGTGGAGCTTCAGAGGGACTGCACGATCTGCGTGTGCTGGGTCGCCAAAGCCGCTCGAAAGGCTGAGTAGCTAGGACACCTGAGCTCAGTAGCTGATGGGCTTGCAGATTCGGAGGCCGTGCTGTGCTCTAGTTGGTGATACACTCGTCAAGACGGAGTTAAAGAGCTCTGGGCAGTTATCTTCCTTTCCTGATACATCGGCACTGGAGGTGACCGAAGTGGAGATCGGAGAGTGTGGCACTTCCTCCTCAGCCGTCATCCTCCATCATCGGTGCCTCCGTGTCAATCGACCGACGCAGGTGCCGGTCCATCCCCTCAGATGCCTGGCAATTGGGTGGCACCGGGATTGTCAGAAGTTTGCAATCCTGTCGGCGCTTCCTATGCGGGCAGCTGCTGCGGCTCCATCGCTTGGGTGGGCCGTGCCCTCGTCCGTGGCCGATGCACTAGCCGGTGGCTCCGAGGCATCGGGTCGCTCCGTCACTGTGCCCGGGGGTGGCGGTGGCTTGTCCAGGATGAGGTAGCCGTCGATATTGGAGATGTGAAACTAACCTGTTTTGCAGCGCGTACAGTGTGTGTACCTAGCGTTTTGTACAGTCGCAGACGTTCCCCTCTACCGCAGGGGCCCCTTGGACCAAGCCTACGGCTTTGCGGAAAAGTGACTAGTCTTCGCACTGGTAGCGGAGCTCTCGGTTAAGAGAACCAGAGCTCATAGCCCAATAGTACGCCCCTGCGCGGGCGTGTGGTCGCCATGGCTAGTGGATCGCTGGCATATCGACCACACCAGGATCTGGACACAGACCTGACGAAGTTTGGCTTCCTAGTCTATGCCGGAACCGTTCGTGACTTTCACGAGTGGGAGTTCCGAGCTATGACAAGGTGGAAGCAGACCAAGGTTGAGGAGAGATCCGACCTTGCGTCCAAGTTCCTCGACTCCTTAAGGAGCGAGGCATACATTGTCGCAGAAGATTTGGGTACCGACGTTCTGTTCTCGAGTCAGAACATCCCCAAGGTGATCGAGGCAGTTAGAGAACGCCTGTTCCCTCTGGCGGAACAAGAGACGAAAGAACTTTATCGGTTAGGGACCCAAGTCGGCGGCACGTTGTCACGACAGCCGGGAGAGCCGATGATCTCCTACATCGACCGCCGCAAGCGGTGGCTACGCAAGCTTCAGCAATTAGACAAGGCCCTTCACATAAGTGAAGCGGTGCTGACAGATCTGTTGCTGGACAACAGCGGGCTCACCCGGCAAGAGCGACTCATGGTGCTGACCTCGATGTCAGGCAGCACAGCGACGAAGGATGCTGAAGCATCGCTGATTCGCATGCATAATCGTATCCATACGTTGGAACGAAAGCAGCCATCCGCCAAAGGCGGAACTGGTAAAGGGAAAGGTTTCCACAGGAAGGGAGACCGAGGAAAAGGTAAAGGATACGGCAAGAGATCCCAGAAAGGGACTGCTTACACGTACCTTTCGGCCGTGGAAGACCTTTTCGAGTACCCTGACGCCGAAGAAGACGACGACGGAACGGCCTACCTGGCAGGCCAAGAGGACCAGGACGGCCAGGACGGTGATGGACATGACTGGGCGTACCACGGAGAAGAGCTCCCCGTGTACGACAAGGAAGAGGACACCGCGTGTGTTGCTCAGTCGGCCGACGCTTCCCTAAGGGACGTCGAGCTTGATGTCTTCACCGCCTTTATAGGCGCTGGGTTCGATGAGGAAGACAAAGAGGCTTTGGCGTTTCTCGCAGACACCGTGCAGTGCGAGACCGTTGCCTTTATGGCGCGGGCCAAGGCTAAGGGTAAAGGAAAGTCTGTGATGCAGAGGAGTGCACATGGATATCGGCCGCGATCTACCGGTCTCACTGTTGAAGACAGGAGACGGAAGCTTCATGAGATTAAACTCAGGAGCACGTGCAAAACGTGTGGCAGAAAGGGCCACTGGGCTGGTGACAAGGAATGCCCAGGCCCAGGGAAAGGTGCAGGAAAGCCCGCAGTGGCACACCTTGCCCAGGTCAGGCGTGTGATGGATAAATCCACACAGACCTGCGACTTCATCGCTAGCCCCAGCGAGAGCGACAGCGAGAGTCAAAGCTTTGACCCGGAGCCAACAGCGAACTACGTTAGCTTGGGTCAGGACTCTGAGACGGAGCCTGCGGCGTACATGGGTTTCTTCGACAGGACTGACTTTGAAGAGTCCGACGAAGAGCTCCTGGACGACTTTGCGTCGCAAGGCGCTCCCTCCACGGAATGGGATACCATAGAGTACCCTGACGGCAGCGACCAAGTGTTTCGGTTCGGGATGCATAGGGGTAGCACCTACCTTGAGGTTTTGCAGAACCACCCCGATTACTACCATTGGGGCCTCAAGGAGAAAGAGCCGAGCACCATGCTGGAAGCATGGCTTGTCTGGGTCTATCGCAACTTTGAGGTTCCACCGATTGGCGGTGGAAGGGCTACACTCAGGGCAGCCACGTTGCCGGTGGAGGCCGACTCGCTGCAGAAGGCTAGGAAGGAGGTGACCCTTGAGAAGGCACCTAAGAGCAAGCTCGGGTTGTTGAAGCCGGATCCCAAAGGACCGTGCGTTGGAGGCTGTCCCGCACATGCATTGAACAAAGCAGGGAGCAATGCGCACGTAGTCAAGACCACTTGCATGTTGTGCGGTAACAGGATCTCAAACCCGAGACCAAAGGCCGTACCGAAGAATGACCCCCTCACGTGCGAGCACAAGCGCACGGACAACAGGAACAGCACGAGATCGGTACACCGCACCTTTTGCCTTGATTGTTGCACTGTGGTAGAGGAAATCCCTCAGAAGCTCTTTAAGGAGCAGAAGGGACTCGCCGAGCAGGTGCAGCAGTCTCCACTCAAGGTGCAGAACCTCACGAGGAGACAGCTGGAGGAGTACAACTTTAAGAAGTTTGAGGCAGGTGAGGTGGTAAAGAAGTTCTTCAAGCACATGGACAAGTTTTTGTTGAAAGTTGACCAAGTCAGTTCAACCGAGTTGTCTAGTTGCCTTGAGGATGCGATGGACCAGGTTGTAGAGCAGACGAAGTTACGCATGCAACATGGTAGGGCCGCTGATGTAGCTAGGTCTAGTCAGGACGTAGAGCCCCCACCTTTGCCTGCGTTTTCCCCAGTACGTAGAGAGCGTAGGAGTGCACAGCCTCGTGAGCAAGCTTCGCCCGCCGCCGCAGCAGCAGCTGGCCCGAGAGAGAGAGGAGCAGCTGTTAGGGACGCCATGGCGGCGTCTCCTCCCAGCGGAAAGGGCTGGGGAAGCCGCGAAAAGTTCGCCGGCGTGGCAGTGGTGATCCCGAAGGGGACACCAAGCTGACCCTCACAGCCTTGGTGGGGCAGCTGCAGCGAGATGATCTCGAAGGAGACATCAGCCCGAAGAGCGTGCAGAGCTCAGACAGTGAGCCTGCGCCCCTGGACGCTTGGAGGACCACGAAAACGTCTGGGTGATGCTGGACGAGGGCTGCAACCAGACATGCCACGGGACGAAATGGAGGGCTCACTCCTCAAAGGTCCTGGCAAAGTTTGGGTTGCAGTTCACCAGCGTGCGCTCGAGCGGCACGAGCTTCAAGGGCATTGGAGCGGCTCGAGCGACGGGCAAGTTCGCAATGCCGTTCGCCCTCCGCATCATGCCGGAGAGCGGAGGCCTTCGCCGGAGCACCCGTCTGCAGGGAGAGCTCTCCAGTGTGGAGCTGGACTCTCCGGACGTGCTCTGCCTCCTGTCCTTGCAGGATCAGGTTCAGCTTGGCCTGATCAAGGACCTGAGGCGCGGCGAGTGCCGAATCTCGGGCTACGCCGGGACACTGCAGTTGGCGAGGCACTCGAAGACCGGCCTCCTCCTCCTGTGCGTGAGCCAGTTTGGGGCGAACGTTACAGAGAGGCACAGGAAGTTTGCAGTGAATCCGGAGGTGATCCCTAAGAGGACATCTAAGAAGGAGAAGAACACTTTCTCGATCCCTTTGAGGGACGGGACGGCACGCAAGAAAGAGACCTTGATCCCTTCAGGGGACAAGGACAGCACGGCGTACATGCTGTCCGAGATGGTGAAGGAGACCGAAGGGCAGCGGAAGAACGTTTTGGTGGTCACGTTGGGCTTGGAGAAGCTAGAGACCTGCCAACGTGGGCGCGGCACCTACCGTGGACTCACGGAACTTATCCGTGGTATGCGAAAGGGGCAGTCGCACGAGTTCTCGCTGAACAACGAGGCCCACGAGGACACGCTTCTGGAAAGCCTGCGCCAGAACTTTGAGTCCTTCCGGGACTACGCCACGGAGCAGATCCTTTTTCTGGACTGCCGGCACATGAACGACCCGGGCAAGGACAAGTCCCTCAGGGACCACTTAGGCACGTACCCCAAGAACGTGCAAGCCATGGTTTTGGACCCAAAGACGAACGGAAAATGGGTGGCGTTCATGAAGGAGGTCGTGCCGGCCGTGCACAAGCTCATCCAGGAGAACGAGCAGTGCGTGATCTTTATGTTTTGCAAATCGGGAAGACACAGGTCTGTCTCGAATGCAAAGATCATGTACGATCTCATAAAGGAGACGTACGAAGTGGAAGCGAGTCTACTTCACCTTTGCGACGGTTACAACTGGCGATATCTATGCGGTGGTTGCGCGGAGTGCAACTGGGAGTCCAAGGAGGCTCGAAGCACCGCAGAGAAGGTGATGGACTTCGCGAGGGAGCGCTGGTTCGAGTTCGTGCCCAAGGTGTGGGTGCGAAAGGACGGCCAGCGCCGCCTGGGCGACGATGGCGTCGTGGTGGAAGAGCCGATCCCTTCGGGGACAGCTCAGGCAGCGGGCGCGGGATCAAGCAGTGACCCGCCGCAGCCTGACTCGGCTGTCAAGCAAGAGGCCGCTCAGGACGAGCAGCTCGGAGATGAGGACCACGACGAGGGCGACACCACTGGGGCAGCCGAGGCCAGTGCCAGTTCGAAGGCACCGGCGCAGCCTTTCACGGTGGAGATCCCAGACGGTGTGTCGGTGCCAGTCCACGACTTGCGACCAGAGCTGGAAGGATTAGATGACAAGTCCCTTGAAAAGGTAAGTTTTCTTTTTCTTTCTAGGGTTTATAGTGTCTTCAACCCAGCGAAGCTTACGGAAGTCACTACGCTGGTCGCCAAGTACGTGGACCACACCTCGCTCACCTGCGCCGTTGCCGCGAAGTACTTAGACTACGAGGCGGCGAGGGCACTTTTGTCGTCGCTGGTGGCTGACGTCCGATCCGGAAAGCGGACGGAGAAAGAGTGGGACACTGACCTGGAGCTGGCTAACCGGAGCCTGGACCAGGCGATCCTCCAGCTGGACGAGGACAAGGCCGCGGCACAACCTGGCGCAACCACAGCTGGAAGGACGACCGCTCAAGCGGCGGACCCACCGCAAAGAGAAAGGACCCGATCGGCACAGGCCGACGGGCGAGGAGAGAAGGGAAAAGGTGAGAAGGGAAAAGGAAAAGGCCGAGGAGACAAGGGACGCTGGCCGAACAACAACCTTCGAGGCCCAAGGACTCATACTGAGTCCAATCCTGCCTCGACTTCTCACGCAGAGACCCGCCACGACCTGGCCAGTCTGGGGGAGAACCCCAACAACCCGGGGAGCCTCTCGGGGGCTTACTTGAGCCAAGTCATCTCAGGACACAAGAGGCACGGTGAAGTTGCCTTTAAAACTTGGTTACAGCCAGGCGTGGGGCACGAAGGAGCCGGACCACCGGTTCGTGTGTCCTATAGGGCACACGCTGCAAACTCCTGGGATAAGGTCCCGACGGAGTTGCAGCGCTACCGCAAACACGTGGCGATCCAATGGACGTCCGATGGGCCCTGGGAGTGGCACGAGACCAACGTGGCCGCCCACTCATGGGTTTACTTCGGCGACCGTTGGGACCAGCACCCGCGCCACATGTTGGTGTTCTTGGTCCCGCCACGCGGTGGCAGTGCCTTCTACGTTGGAGGCATGCTTCCGGATCTCATGGCTTCCGACCTGAAAGTGATGAAGAAGGAGACCGGAAAGATGTTTGAGGATTCTTGCAAGAACCTCAACACGCACGACGACCTGCTGATGCAGGCCTTGGGGCTCCCGTCGGTGGCGATCACGGGCGAGCCGCCCACGATCTACGCCCTGGCGAACTCGGAGTTCCAGCCCGGATCCCTTGAGAGGACCGGCGCCAAGGTGATCGTGCGACACCCTGGCTACCGTATGATCCTTCTGGAGGACATCGGTTGGCAGAAGCAAATCTCTAAAGAGATTGCTAAGATCCGTCCCGACCTCCTGCTGTTGGTGTACAGTTTGGAAGACCAGGTAGGTCTCACCCCGCAGGTACAGACCTGGCTCCAGTCCCTCTCCGCGTACACAAAAGAAGTGCTTGTTCTTGACAGTTTAGGCAGTGTTAGGTGGAACCTGTGGTTGAGAACAGTGTCGAGGGTACTGAGAGAGAGTTTCAGTTGTTTCAGTGTAGGGGTGACCTGTGTGTAGGGACGTTTTCGCAGGCGATAGGTGAAGTCATGTCTAGTTGGGCGAACTGTGACCATGACATACACTACTCACCTGTGAGCATCGACACAGTAGGCACGCAAGTTGGTTTTGCCGAAACCTTGTTGCTTGTGTTGCAAGAGGGCTGTGTAGAGGACCACGTTGCTGAAGCGTTTCCTGTTGAGGCAAGGCAGGATGAGGTCGAGGAATCTGGTACTCTAGATGCTATAGTGGATCCCAGAGACAATAGGACCGCTTTCATGGATGATCTGGAACTCGCCGAGGAAGCAGACATCTTAGACACGTTGCCTTTAGCAGGGTTTCCGAAGGAAGAGTCCGAGAGGAGAAAGGCATGGTCTAAGGTACCAAGGCGTGTTCGCTTGGGGATCAGGAGGTTGCACACCATGATGAACCACAAGCCTAAGGAAGTGCTAGTTCAGGTACTTCGTGGGGCAGGTGCTTCTGAAGAGTTGGTGAATGCAGCTAAGATCTTCAAGTGTGAGTCTTGCAGGGTTAGCGAAGAGAAGGTTCGCACACACCCTGTGTCAGCTCCACCACCTTACGAGTTCAACCACACAGTTTCGGTGGACGTGCTGGAGACTGCAGACTCAACAGGCGCAAAGTTTAGCTGGCTGAACATTATAGATGTCGGCACAAGCTATCAAGTTGTGACCTTGGTCCGCGTTGGTGGCGGACAGCCGAGCTCAGCCAAGTGCTTGCAGAAGTTCATGCAGCACTGGGTTTCCCCTTTTGGGTGGCCAAAGGTGGTTTCCCACGACCGTGGTTTACACAACCGGGGCGCTTTCGCTCACGGCTTGGGTAGCCATGCAGTCCAGATCCGCCAAGCCGGACTGGAATCGCCTGAGCACATAGGGAAGTGCGAAAGGCATGGAGGCATCATAAAGCGAGCCTTTAAGCGTTTGGTCAAGGACCACAACGTTGTGGGCAAAGATGATGTCAAGGTGGCGATGCTCGAGGCGCAGGTCGCAAAGAACGAGTTCATGCGTGTTGGAGGCTTCAGCCCCACCCAGTGGGTGCTTGGACGCCTGCCCAGAGGAGTGGGCCACGTTTTGGACGAGGAAGAGCTAGGACAGCTTGGAGTCTTGTCGGGCAGGTTAGATGCCACGACTGCGTTCGGCCGCCAGGCCGAATTCCGCCATACTGCCAGAAAGGCATTCGTCCATGAGGATTGCAGTCGCAGGGTACGAAAGACCGTGTTGCGCAAGGCGGCTCCCCTGCCGGGGAAATACCAAGCTGGCGACCTAGTTTGCTATAGGATCGCGCGAGATGAGCATTCAGGCGTTAGTACGTGGTCGACTGTTAGTAAAATAATCGGCTTCGATAACAAAACGGTCTGGGTGGTGCATCAGGGCGTGCCTGTGGCGACCAGCTTGGCGCGACTCAGACCGTGCACATCGGCTGAGGTTCTAGCGTTCCAAGTGTTGAACCGTGGCAACATACAGTACGAGCACGCGGAGGTTGAACGCGAGCAGCAAAGGTACATTGATGCCACCGGGGATGATCTATTGCTAGACGACCCAGAAGAGCCGGACGGAGGAATTGGGATAGGTACTCCGATCCAAATGGACGCCGAAGCAGATCCTCCGGAGACTGCGGCCGCTGCTCCAGAACGAGCTGTTCGAAGGAGAGTTGGAGCAACACGTGAAGAGTCACGGGCCGTGACTGTGGAGGAGCCAGAGGACGAACAGGTGGACTCTCCAGGAGGGATCCAAGAGCCGATGGCTGAGGACACGGCGGTGGACGCCGATGGTGAGGCCGAGGCCACGGAAGGCAGCTCAGCGCTCCTTTTGAGGGCTTACGCTAGCCACTTCTGGACGAAAGAGGAAAGAACCGTTTGGAACTCACTCCCCGGGGAGAAGGAGTACGAGGCCTTACGGGTTTTCTTCGCAGACCGTGTCGAGGACGACAAGAAGGTGACGCAGTGGCGCAAGCGCCGCAAGAACTTTACGTCCAAGAAGCAGAAGGAGAAGCACGGGAAGATCCTAATGTACCACAAGTGCCCTGAGGATGTCCAGAAGGAGTTGGACAAGAGTAGAGCAAAGGAGTGGGCAAAGTGGCAGGACTTCAGTGCTGCGATCATTCTTGATGACGCTCAGTATGATGAGTTGATCCGTGAAGGACATCAAGTCATACCTACCCAATGGGTAGAGCTGGACAAGAACCACAACAAGAGGTTACTTGATCCTACTGTGGAGGCCAACTACAAGAGTAGATTGGTTGTTCGGGGTGATCTTGAGAAGGGTGATCCTAGGAGTGATAGCCCTACTGCTAGCATAGAAGCTCAGAACTTAGTGTTTTCGTTCGCTGCTTCTAGGAAGGTCAAGATTAAGTCCCTGGACGTGACCAACGCCTACTTTCAAGGCGAGGAGATAGATAGAGTACTTCTACTATCTCAGCCCAAGGGAGGACTCCCTGGGCTCAAGCCCCACCAGCACATGCTGGCGAGAGCACCCATCTACGGCAGCACCGATGGTGGTAGACGGTTTTGGAAGCGACTTAGGAATTACCTTAAGGGTAAAGGACTTCGCGAGAACCGCATCTACCGCGCATTGTACAGTTACACCGACGCCGATGGGGTTGTACAGTTGCTCTTGACGTCCCACGTAGACGATCTATTGTGGGCTTGCGATCCGTCATGTGATTGGATCATGAACGATCTCATTGAGACGTTCAAATGTGGAAAGGTTGAGACCGGGAGCTTCAGGTACTGCGGGAAGGAGATAAGCCAAGACGAGGATTTCAATATCCATGTGACCTGCAGCGAGACAACGAGGAACGTGAACAAGATTCACGTTGACAAGAGGAGGCACCCGGGAGATCCCTTAACGGACTCTGACAAGACGCAGATGAAGAGCGTCGCTGGGTCCCTTGCTTGGGTTTGCAGACAATGCCGACCCGACTTAAGCTATAGGGTATCCAAGATCCAGTCGGCTTCTAGCAATGGTACCGTCGCTGACATCAGAGATGCCAACAAAGCGGTCGAGTACGCTATTAGCACATACGACAGAGGACTTGTTTTCAAGTCTGGGCTGTTGGACTGGAAGACACCAGGTGCTCTTTTGAGTCTGGTGATCACGGACGCTTCTCACGCGAATGAGTCCGAAGAGATGATCATAAATGAGATGACATCTGTGGAAGGACACCGGAGCCAAGGTGCAAGGATGGTGTTTCTTACAGACGGCGCCCTGTGGAAAGGGAACAAAGGTAGCATTCATCCCATCTTGTGGGCGAGCAACCTCGTTCGGAGGGTATGTCGCTCCACCATACAGGCAGAGGCCTACACACTTCAGGCAGGTGTGGAGGACGGTGACGTGCTGAGAGCAGCTGTCACTGACATCTTCGGATGCCTCGATATGAAAAGGTGGGAGGCTACGTCGGCCAAGTTTGTGAAACAGATCTGGATGACAGACTGCAAGAGTCTGGAACTGACGCTTTCGAATCCGAAATGCAATAAGCATTCGGACAAGAGATTGAGCATCGAGATCGCGTCTCTCAGACAGGAGCTATGGCGCAAAGCTGGCGAGAAAGCAGGAGATCCGTTTTACGACGACTACAAGCCAGTGGATGATCAGTTAACTGACATCGTCAGATGGATAGACACTGACGTGATGATCGCTGATCCGTTGACGAAGGTCATGGAGCCGGTCAAGTTGGTTGAAGCCCTGAAGACCAACACACTCGACGTAGAGCAGCCGCTCGAGAGCGTCGTGAAGAAGCGCGCCAAGCAGCTTCAGAGGAGGTCGACGAAGAAAGAAGAGGACAACGAGCAAGACCGTTGATCCTTGAGCACGAAGTCTCACCACACTGACGCTGTAAGAGTCACGGGTGTGAAACTAACCTGTTTTGCAGCGCGTACAGTGTGTGTACCTAGCGTTTTGTACAGTCGCAGACGTTCCCCTCTACCGCAGGGGCCCCTTGGACCAAGCCTACGGCTTTGCGGAAAAGTGACTAGTCTTCGCAGGAGACTACCACTACTACTACTACTACTACTACTACTACTACTACTACTACTACTATTCCTGCTGCTACTACTTCGACTTCTACTTCCACTTCTACTTCCACTTCTACTACTTCTACTACTGCTGCTGCTACTACTGCTACTGCTGCTACAACTACTACGACAACTTCTGGTACTGGCGTATTTCGTTGCTTTCTGTAGTAGTAGTAGTAGTAGTAGTAGTAGTAGTAGTAGTACTACTACTACTACAACTACTACTACTACTACTACTACTACTACTACTACTACTACTACTAGTCCTGCTGCTGCTACTACTACTACTACTACTACGACAACTACTACGACTATTACTACTACTACTACTACTACTACTAATACTACTACTACTACTACTACTACTACTACTACTACTACTACTACTAGGAGGCTTGGCATGAAAGTCAACAACGAGAAGACCAAAGCCATCCTCTCAGTCACAGGACCCATCAAGCATAAAATCCACAAACTGTACATCCGGAATGCAGGCAAAGAACGACATCTTCTTCTTTATCCTGGAGATCCTTCACAATGGCTGCCACTTGTGGACCAGGCGGAGTATTTGGGACTCATCATCTCGTACACGAGTTTCGAAAAGCAGTCTGTGAAACACCGGGTAACCAAGGCCAATCATCGCAGATGGGCATTGGCATCAATTTTACATACCAGAAGGGTGTCCATTGCCTACAAGCTACAACTGTGGCGAAGTTGCGTGCTCTCTACTCTCATGTACGCTCTTCACTGTCTATGCCTCAATTCAGGTCACATCCACACCCTGCAGAAGACCATTATGAAACATACAAGGGCCATCATCTCAAATCAGGCCTTCTTGACCGGAGTCACACATGACGATATCATGCAAAGGTACAAAATTCGCTCAGCCCAATCGCTTCTTGAGCAAGCTCACGGCCGCGAGCTCACACTGACACACCATGGAGACTGGATGATTGATGCAATCTGGAATCAGGCCATCAGTGACAGTCTGGCATCCGCGGCACAACGTACCACGCCTGAGACCGATGAGGAAACAGCTGTGTGGGCCTGTCCAGTATGCGATGAACAATTCAACAACACTGCAGCACTTAAAGTACATGTTCGTCGAGCACACAAGCTGATTGACCCTAGTCATCGCATTTTTGACAAGGCGAAGCACTCCATCAATGGACTTCCACAATGTGCAGGTTGCCACAAGAAATTCAGTAGATGGCAAACTCTCGAGCAGCATGTGAACAACAACTCATGTCCAGCCAGAGTCGCGGAAGTATACCACCCGGATGCACAACCACCGGGAGAACCCGAAAGCAAGCATGAAGAGATCGCTGACAAAATCACTGCATTAACTACGGATGAATGCTCAGATCCTGTATCTTCTCAGCCCTCGTCTTCTGCGCTGCAACATGTCCAGCTTGATCTGCACATGCCTCTGATTGATCAGGCTCTTGTACAGAATACGGCCAGACAGGGACTCAACCAGTTCATGCATTATCCTGCCATCACCCAACATCTATCACAACATTGTGCAGTTTGCGGACAGTGGATTGCATCTCAGAAAGTCATGAAGCTACATTATCGCAACTCACACAAAGAGCTGTTTCTACGACTGCAGGGAAGAGCACAACAACTGATTACATACAAAGCCACACCCAGCATAGCTTGCCACTTCTGTCAACGGAAGACGAAGGACTGGAAAGCTCATTTACACAAATGTACGGTTCTTTGGCAGTGCGCCCTCCTTTGTGCTACTTATGAGGATGCACATGCACGGGATGGACGAGGACATGGCGGACTTCTTCGGGAATTACCAACCGATGGAGGAGCTATCAGGACACCTGCACCACCTCCACGCAGCCCGTTCCCCATGCCGAACAAAAGAAGGAGGGACCCCTTCGGTGCTCCACTGGAACCCCATCGTGCGACACACTCGCCTTTCCAGGCCGCCCATCATCAAGGACCCCAGCCTCCAAGGCCTCCTCACAGAGACCCCTTGCTGTTTACTTTGGCCAAGACGGTGCTAAAACAGCAGGAAGAGTTGCAGGTACTCCGGCAAGACACGGCCTTTGTGCTCTACCTCAGGCCTGGCGAGAACTCAGTGCTGAGCCATCTTTACCAAACGGCAGTTCGGTTCAAAACCAAACTCGAATCGGATCCACAGTGGAAACTTGGACAATTTCCGTTGAGGATGGTCTTGACGGTAGCACTGTTCACGGAATTGGTCACAAGACTCAACCAGGTCTTGGCGTCCCAGGATCGCTTGAAGCAGGTGACGGACCAAGGATGGAGAAACGAGGCGGGTTGGAGGTTCCAACGTTGGAACCCGACCTTACGTCACTTGGAAATGGACACGGCCAAGGATCCGATCCCAGACGATCAGCTACTGGATCATCTGGCTACAGCCTTGCAGTGTTTGAAACATCCCATCGTGAACAGGTTCCGGTGCAAACGCAAAATGACAGAAACGATGACGACCCAGGCCACGTTTGTCATGGATATCTCAATGAGAAGCCAATGCTCCACCACCCTCTGGGACACAATGAGAGTTCTGCAGAACAATGCAGTGTTCCAACTGGTTGGCATGACATACAAAACAGAGGGACTGGGTCGAAGCCCGGTCGAGCAACAGATCCGAGACCTCTTGTATGGGCAGCGGCGACAATAGACCATGATGATCGGAACATGCAATGGCAAGCTACTCAGCTTGTACTTCGCAATCCTGGAAATCATTGCTATATGAATGTCACGGTTCAGGTCATTGCTTGGCTTCTGGGGAGGTTGCAATTTGCAACATTATCTTCGACTGATGTGGTCGAAGGCTTCTTCCTAAGCATTCTACGCTCAGCTCAGTCCCCATTGATGCTTGTGGATCACCCAAGGTGGCAAGCTGTGATTCAAGATTGGGGAGAGGTGCACCGACAACATGATGTGTGCGAATTCTTCTCCTACCTGCTGAACAAATCTGACTGTCAAATCTTTACAGGCACATGGCGGGCTCGAACACCTGTCGTGGCGGGGAGTTTTCATCTTCTGGATTCCGGGCTCTGCACTCAGCCGATCGTTCTACATCTACCACAATCGTACAGCGCGAATGCTATACCCAGGGTTCAACATCTAGTTGATGAATGGCATCGGGGCATTGATCGCCTACATGGACTACACACCATGCCCCTCGCCCTCCATCTGCAGCTGCATCGTTTCGACAGACGATCAGGTCGAGTTGTCAAAAATCATGTACAGGTACAGCTGGATGAAACCATACGTGTTCCAGTACTTCATGGGCCTACTTTTGAGGTTCGACATGAGATTTACAGCTTGTGTGCCTTCATTGAGCATCATGGCAATACACCTGAAGCGGGTCACTATAATGCCACGCTGGTGCAGGATGGATTTTGGAGTTGTGACGACAATCGAGCAGCGCGTCGAAGAGCTGCTATGATGGGTTCACAACGTAAATCCTGCTATGCTCTGTTCTACTGTTGCCAACAAGCTTTACCTACGGTGCTTTAGCAGCTTTTAGCAGCTGGACGGCACGTATGCTCATTTGTTCTTCGGAACGGTACGTGTCGTTTCGTAGATTGGAGATGACCAAATGGTCATGAACATAAGTTCCGGGCGACCGATGGTAGCCTGCTCATACCCGACGCTGGGCGGATGGATCTCTTTCGCTGCGTGCAAAGCTCAAAGCTACTACTACTACTACTACTACTACTACTACTACTACTACTACTACTACTACTACTACTACTACTACTACTACTACTCGTACCACTCTTCCTACTCCTACTGCTACTGCTACCACCACTGCTGCTGCTACTACTACTGCTGCTACTGCTACTGCTACTACTATTACTACTACGGCGACGGCGACGGCGACGCGACTGCTGGGAGTACGGTGGTTCCTGATGCCGTATATTCCTTCACTTTTACAGTTACGAGCTTTAAGCTGGCTTGGCATCCACGGCGCGGGTGGCGGGGTGCCGTTTGTTCTTTACTTTTCTCGTATATACCCCCTAAATCCTCCACTAGGGCTTGAGGGATGGACCATTATTGACCTCTAAGTTCAACATTTTCCCGTGCCAGCTGCTAAATCCACGCCCAGACACAGGGACTCAACATAGAGATGAGTTTGTATGCTCTAAAGTTTCCACTTCCAGCTGTTAAATCCAATCCCAGGCACAGGGAATAAATAGAGGGATAAACTTCTTAAGCAAAAGCACACCAACAACTACCTATTTTGCACATGTCAAGGCATGCTCAAAACTCGAAATTTGAAAAGTGATTTGACATAACACAGTTTACCAGACCTTAACAGACAAACTTCTTTTTGCAGTCCAGAAAAGTCAGCACAGAACCTGAGAAATAGTGTTGTTTTCGAATTCTGCCAAAGCAGTAGTTGTTCACACCCCCCACCTGAAGTCAAACTGGCTCAAAACTCGAGAAGTGGCGCTGTCACATCCACAAATGGCGCCAAAACGCAAACGTGCGCCTCCTCCTCCTCCTCCTCCGGCTCCGGTGGCGGTGGCGGCTGCCACCACCGCCACCACGACCACCACCTCCACCACCGTTTTTCCACGCAGTGTTAGACTATTAGACTCTGACTGCAGGACTTTTGGTCCTGGCGCGCACCCGATGCTGTCGCCGCTGAGCGCGTCCACATGGACGCAGACTTCTGGATGACGGGTGCGACTGACGGTTCCCTGGTTCAGATTTCGGAGCCAGAAGAGAGCTAAAGGTTTTCAGATGGCATTGTGCCGGTGGTCCTGATGCGTCTGTCAAGTACACAGACAGACTTGCGCTCTTGGTGAAGATTACAGTTGTGTTCCGCCATCGTTATGAACCACTACTTGAGGTCTACCACAGCAGAATTCGTAAATTCCTTATCCAAAGGGGGCCGGCTAATGGGGAGCGAGAGCTCGGATTTTTGCGAAGCTTTAGACAACCCGAATTCCTGGTGCAGCTTCTGAGCCTTCTTGGTGTCGAGCTCACCGCACATGTTGTTTCAACTCGTTTGGGCGAAGGTGAAAAGTAGTAGAGCTCAACGTCAAAACTACAGGATCCTGGGAAGTCAATATGCCCACCAAAAGGAAATCCTCGAGCCCTGAAGCCCTGAAGCGTAGGATGCATGGATCCCGAGGACTCCTCAGTTTAGGAATACTCTCTAAATGACTCAAAGCCAGTTCGAAGGTTCGTAGCACGTTTGTCCTGCTGGACTTTGGGAACCTTAGTAGCCCTGACCTTCAAGCCTAAGCCTTGTGGCGATGATACAGCTGAAAAACGAGTTAAGGTTTCAACCTGTGGTTTCTATTGGACCACAAGGACATGGCGCACAGCTTCGACATCTATGCTAAGGTGCGGTGGACTAGGGTAGTATACTAGATAATTATAGTTATTAGTACACTATGTAGTATTCTATATATTATATAGTACTCTCGTGGACTATGTAGCAGACAATACAGTGTACTCCATTAAAACTGTTATACTATACCGTTATACCATGAGTATATATGTGCACACATACACACACACCATGTCTGGGTAAAGAATCATTCCAACTAGGCCTCAAGTCCGCACATCCACAAAACTCTCAAGTCTCTGTTCCCCGCGGACGGTCCCTAGAAGGAAGAGAATCCGGAGTTGTACAAGCGCGTCCGGCTCCCACATCGACCTACTTCACTCATTCCTCTGCAAGGCCGGGCGCAGCATGCTGCTGTCTTTATGGCCGCATCTATGCTCGTGGGGGCATGTCAGGGCTGCTCACATGAGTCCTGGGAGGGGGGGGAATGGGAAAAACGATGTGGAGGGCCTTCTTCACTAGAGCATGTCACAGCGCGCTGAATTTGAGATGGTGTGCTATCCTCAGCAATCTCGTCACTTTTGGAGCCTTGTTCAGGAACTGAAGCCCTGAGGGTGAGACTTAGACTTAGAAGGGGCCTGGTAGCCCTCCCAACTGCGCTCCGCACTAAAACCGTTGTAAAGATCCTTCTGCCATGCTTGTTTGTGGTTTCACCTTGCCCCAAACTACCCTGGAACAAAAATAAAACCTAAACCTCCGACTTAAGCTCCCTTGAAAAAGAAAGCCTGAAGCCTAAATTACAAACACGTCCAGGACTGAAGAGTCCTGGTTCATCGCCTTGCTTCCTTTACTGGGAACCTCTGAGGCCAACCCTCATGCTTATGATGGTCTGGTCATAGGTGTTCGTTTTCGGGGTCCCATGGCACAGCAAACTGCATAAGAGTCTTCGATTTATGGTTTAGGGTTTAACTGCTTTGACTGCAGTTCCCAAACATGGGATCAGGATCTGGGCTCAGGGCTTTGGATGCGAAAGTTTGCGTACGATATCGTTGTCCAAAAATGGTGCAGCCTTTGGTCTCCGAAAGTGTCCAGTGTGCACACAGCTGCAGGCTGTGGCCTGTGCTCTTCGAGGGATCGAGCACAGTGGCACGTGAACTCGGCATGGCCACTCGTGTGTTATGCACCCTCGAATGAGCTCAGCCATAGGGCACAGCCCGATTTTGCCTTCAGGAGCCACAGTTACAGGAGGGTTCAGGAATATCGAGAAACCAGCACATCACGGCGAACGAGAAGTTGCAGCAGCTGAGGTCGGTCGTAGTTGCAGCATCAGAGGCAGGAGTAGCAGGAGTAGGTTGAGTAGTAGGTGTGGTTGTGGTGTTAGTAATTATCGTCGCGAGTCTAAAGATGTCCATGTGTAGTCCCTTATAGTTGAGGTTGTGTCCATCTTCTCCACCTGGTGGCTCCAGACGCCAGGCTTCTGTCGGATCTTGAGAATTCTGTTTTTCATGCCCTATCACAACTTCACAATTGTGGGTGTGCGACTGTGGGTGTGGTTGTGGGCGGGTTTCCACCTTCTAGAAGTTACACCGTAGCTTAAAAGCTAGCAGCAGAATCCCCGCAGTTTGGCTGAATCATATGATTCCTGATTTAGGTTTTGGCGCCCTGGATTAGTGTCTCAACAAGCATCATCCACTGCCAGAAAAGGTTTCAAGGTTTCAAAACGGCTCTCAATCCATTTAGGCCCTTGTGTTTAGTCTCCTTGTGCTAAGAAGCCCAATGCCGATGCCCCGCAATCATGCCGAAGAAACGCAAGCGAGAAACTGCCCAGCTTCCTTCAACGACAAGGAAGGCGCTGGTCTGTGCGCGGGCAGCTCATCGGTGGCTCCCGTTCTCGGTGTTTCGAGTACTCATGGCCCTCACAGGCAGTTCTGAGGGCTATCTGTTGGCTGCTGCGAAACGACACATATCGAATCGGAATAGGGTCTTGGGGCAGACCATCACCGAATGGCAACGAAACAGCCATGATTCCTTCAACACAAGCGTCATCAAAACATTTCGTGAGGACATGGACTTAACAATGGTGGTGTTATTGGAAGATATGACATGACCCTGAGTAGCATTTTGATGGGTTCAGTTCCCCTCGATGAAACATGGGGAGCCGATAACCAGGTCCGTAGCGCCCTGTAGAATTCTGGCCATAGGAATTGAAGAATCTCGCATAGTAAGCACAAGTATTCTCATTGATGTGAAGGTTGTGGCCATGATTGAGCCTTCAGCAGGTTTTGAGGACTTTTGGGTATAAGGTGAATGTCAAGCTATCAGAAAAGTGTCAGTGCACTATAATACTACATCCCCCGACATGACTCCTGCAGCCCCGTGGCCCTTTCAGCTCCGCGCAATGCCGCTATTGAGCTATTAAAGGCCAACTTCTCCAGCTTTAGAGGTGCATGTTACCTGTATACCAGCCCGCGTATACGTACCTGTAAGTTATAGATGTGCCCCTACAAAGTCCGTATTCTAGCACGATTTCCTACACGAGCCTATGCCGGTGCCCGACTGCATGTCCGGACAATTGAGAGGGTGTTGGGTTGAGCTCTTCTTTAGCTGTGGAGTATCTTGGACATGAAGGATGTGTACTCCTTCGTCCTTTTTCAAGGAGATCTGCAATACCTGCTTCATCTGAGAAGCAAAATGCATGGTCAGGCATGTGCAATACGACGCCCTTGAATGTGGTGATCTTTGCCTCCTCAACTGCTCTGTAAACCTGGCTTTGCCGGCATCGTCCTAGCCATGCGAAACGGAAAAATCAGCCCTGTGAATCCCTTTGTAAATCCTAAGCTGAAGCTATGCGGCCTGCCATTGATCTGGGCTGCTGTTCCAAAAGAACCCATATACCTACACAGGGACTACTTGGGCCGGCAAGAGGTACATTACCCTAAGGTTTTTGGGGGCCAACTCTAGACAACCCCTAGACCCAAAGCCCTTTTGGGTTCAGGCTGGCTGGGAAACCTTGCGCTGTTACCTCGTGGCATCGAGCTCCGAACAAGGAAGTTCCCTCTGAGTATTGGTGACGCGCTGGTGGTGCGTCAGGAGCCGGGGAGAATCTATGGTATACTATAGTATAGTGTGCTATACGATACCATGGTGAACTGCAGACCACTTGACTATTCTGTTTTATACTGTTGATGTTCGTATTCTATACTACAGCACAGGATGCCGTTGTGAACTCGAGTATGGTTTAGTACGTTGCATTCAGCCTTGTTCTGCAGGCTCAAGGGAAGGGAGCGATTGGGATGAGTGCGGGAACCATCTTGGTTGGGGATCTATGGTTTCATAAAATGCTCTCGTGTGGCTGTAAAGGGTTGCTGTGGTTCGAGAGGCTACACATGTATGCACACGCGCAGGTATAGGAATACTATACTTCGCATGTGTGCATATCTGTTTACACATATTGATACTAATTTGTAGCTTCGTGGTTATCTTGGAGCCTCGTAAACTAACATAATATTTTAATGCTGTCAATTGCTCAAATTCCACAATCACCAATACAAGAAAGATGGTACAGATTCTCGTCCCCTCTCTGTGCTGCTGGAGCTTGCTCTCACCCCAGTTCTGCAGAATTCTCCAGTTGCGGACGAGGTGGCTGCGACAATCTTTGCAACAATGCTCTACCTGATCACTGGAATTCCTATGGACAACATGAGTTTGGAGGGACCCCTGAGAAAAGCTTACGAGTAGATGTAAGCTCCCCACCTCATAGGTGTGCAGGGGTTCCTGCTGGGCACCCAAAATTGAACTAGCCCGTATGAAGAATTCAATATTTTCCGTATACGATGTACACTGTACAGGGTTTAGGGTTTAGGTACTGTGTAGTATTGGTGCACGTAAAATCATGTAATGCCTGGGCAAAATCGGCATGTGAGCATGAGAATCTAAGGCAACAGTAGGGGGTAATTAGACTTTACTTGATGGGTTTCGAATGTGGGAGTTAGATTGCTAGGAGCTTCCCACCGCGCCTTGTTTGACCAAGACTGGTTCGTAAGTCGAGCAGGTGCATATGGCTTCAGCAACATCAGTTGCTGTAAACTTCAGAGCACGCGCAATTTTCGGTTTCGTGAAACACACGACAAAGTGCGGAAATGCAGCATATCTGCAACCTCCGAGGTGTAAGATGTTGTCAAAATCGAAGACGTCGAAGTTGCAAAAGCAAGTTTATCTAAGCCAACTTTGACGACCGCATTCGCCTCTTTACACAAGTGATGTTCGCGGCAGGAGAAGTTTGATTGTTGTCATGTTTCCTTGTCAACCATCATGATCTTCTTTCGGAGTATCTCAATCACTCTGCTGCACTCGTGCCTCCTTGAGTATTACAAACCATCACTGTAGCTACAACCATAACTTCTACGAATGCTAGTGCTCTTGCCGCAACTGTTCCTGTTCTTGTTGTTACAGCTTCTGTCTCCTGTCATTGTTATGACAGCTCTTCTGACTAGACAAATGGTCCTATACTTTTATCTCCATGTTCCTATGCAGCTCGATATGCATTTTGCGATGTGCTCCGGTCTATCTGCCGTGGACAGGATGAGCTTCACGTCTCAGATCAGGACAGCCTGCAGGATGGCCAATTCCGGTTGGCAGTGGGCTTGAAGTTCATGAAGCAAGATCACAAGGTGGGGCGACGCTTGCTAGCTGCTAGAGTATGCGGTACCTCCATCTAGAACCTAAAGTTTATACTACAAGTTGGTTCGATTTTTGGTCTGGACGCGTAGAGCTCCAAAATCCCAGAATCGTGGACCTTGTGCTCGCGCAACGAGTGTGTGGTGGCCATTTCCACGTTCTCACCATGTCCCCCACCCCCAACAATGGACATGGAATAGCAATAGCCTATAGCAGTAGCGGATAACGGCTGCAGAATTGCGGAAGACGTTGGTTCTAATTAAGGCCGATGTAGGAGGCGGTTCAGCCTCCCATGTTCGGTTTACCTGGTTGATTTTAGTTTCAGAACCTACTAGTGGTGTTTCAGCCTGTTTTGTTTCATCTTGGTTTTGCATAATGGAGCTGCGCGCACCATCGGTCCGATCCGTTATGCCCAAACTTTCAGGTCCTGGGTAGTATTCACCATGATTCACCATGTAGTTTTCTTTACACCTCTGTGCTTCTGCTGTGATGACTGTGTAGAATGGATTGTAGGTTCATGCGATGAATGCGTGGAGCACTTTGATCTTCTTCCACTGTCACGGTGAATGTTGCATTCAGATGTCCACTTCATGGTTTGTCCCCAAGGCCAATTCTTTTTTGAGAATATTCATGTATAGGCTGTACAGAATCTCCGGCCCCGGAACTTCCACGAGTAGGTGGCATGTAAATGAATCATAACCGTCCTCAGATTGCAACTACAATTAAAATGTGCTGCAAGTCCGCCATAACCGCCCTCACTGCCATTCTTCTGGCTCAGGTATGGAAGTACCCTTTTCTTGGCCCAGCGGGGAAAAGCCGCAGGCAATATCCTGCTCTGCGCCTACCGTGGGGCAGGCTGGAAATGGGTTTGGAGATTAAGTAAGAAACGCAGCAACACGCTTAGGAAGGGTTACATGGGGGCGGGGGTATCATGGTGTCGCATAATTAGTACAAGGTGGTAAAATGTTAGATCCTTCTCTACGTTTTGTTTAGTCTAGCCTAATCTGGATGAAGACTGTTGAGAGTAAACAGATATCTAAGGACCATGTAGGGTTCTGCGGGGCTAGAGTTCTGGTACAAGGCAAAGTGCGATGTATGCCAAAAGATGTGACTGTAGCCAAACAGGCATGGACTGCAGACATGGGAAAAATCTGCATGCCAAAGTAGACGTTCCGCACAGTCACCGTTACTCATGATTCTCGTTTTCATATTCAACCAGTAGACAGGGCTTAAAGCGGCGTGCCCATGCAGTGTCAGGTTTTCCTGCGACAAATTTCACAAAGTCATAAATGCACCAAGCACGTGAACGGCCGCTACTACCTTAACTGTAGTGATGAAGGATGACGACCTGACTTCTTTTATGATGAGGAGAAGTCTCTTTACGGTAATGCCGATACCCGTTAATGATACCAACAATAGAACAAGAACAACCGGCACACTCAACAAACCAAACGCACCACGATGGCAGCAAGCATAACGAAAGTAGTAACAGTGGCAATGTTACCTTGCTGACCTTCCACCACGCTTGCTTGCTCTGTCGCTCATACTACTCCTCACCCGACCCCCATCCAGCCCAACAGCCTTTGTTTCAGATTCACGGAGACAAGAAGGGGGAGGAAGTGAGGTCCTCCGAATCATGGGGGAGCACTTTGTCCGTGTAGACTCCCTCCCCTGGCAGGCCCTCACCTGGGGATCTTGAGAAACATGTCTGGTCTTTCCTACACTGCAACTCGAAGAGCCTATTCAGAAGATTATCTGTTGTCTGGCATCTGGGTAGGCCCTTAGTTCTTGGCTGGGGCAGTTGTATACTCCCCCAGCCACAAACAGTCCACCAGAAAGCTTGCAGCTGCAAGAACCTTGTCCATGTCCTTCTACACATAGGACTGCTTAGGACTGGGTTGGGACAGCACCCACAGCAAAAAACAACAGTAACTGGAGCCCTTGTTCCTTACGAAACGGACTCCACGCAGGTCTTAAGGTTGGCGGTAGTTTTCTTCTTGTTGAACTTGTGTTGCTACCACCATGATCGGATTACACATGCTATCATCGTCCTTCCTCCTCTAGATAGGGCATCTAACCACCAGTTTTTCTGATCAAGGCTGTACTTGGGAAGCACGCGGCAGGAACTCAGTAGAATGCGTGTTCATTGTACAAGTCCTTGCTCCCCCCTCCCGCAACCCACCTTAAAACAGTACTCAGCCAGGTCCTTGAAGGATGTTTACCGCCAGCACGGCTTGGACATGAGCCCGTACCCTGAGTCCTGGCTACAGCGGCTTTTCGCGTCGTCCTCCTTTCGGCAGGTGTAGGACTACAGGACTGATTAAGTTCTCCTTGCTAGATAGCTGAAGAAGAAGAGTAGGCCTGAAGTCTAAACGAAAGCTGAATCTAAAAGACCAAGCGCTACCAGTACAAAAGTGGGTTGAGGGTATGTAGAGTATTAACCCCAAAGTTGGGAAAGAACATCGAAGAGCCGTTCCCTCTAGATTCGGGGTAAACAGCATAGTGTTTGGGTATAGTTTACGAGTTTACGATTTCCAGCTGAGCAGCAAATGTGAAGCCCAGCACGGCCTCAAATGCAGAGATTAAAATGCTCAGCGGAGCGCTCCGAGTTCCTGAGCCGTTCCCGCATGCGAAGCGGTGGAGGCCTGAAGAAGCACCAATCTTAGTACATAAGCTCGCGAGAGAACTGTAAAGCAAAATGCTCCAAACATATGTTCTTACTGTTGTGCAGTCTCCAAAACAACCGGAGGGCGCAAAAGGTACAGTCCAACATGAGGGTTCTTCATGTGAGGACTCCCCTTTCCCGGGCGCGGGACCCTTCTTTCTGACCAAGCATAACCTGTAGGATGGTTGATTACAACTATTGCCATTTAGTATCCGCGCCCTCTCTAAGCAAACAAGGGTTAATCGGTAAATGAGAATGCTGTATGGGCGGTTCTTGAGAACGGACCATTCCTTTCAATCGGGGTAAAGGAGGGTTATGCAGGGTTTGTGTGGAGCTGTAGCGGGGTTTTATGGGTCTCCATAAAGGATGATATCAGATTCCGCACGGTTTGGGGCGGATTGGCACTGTAGCGTGCGACTTGAGTGGCAACAGATACGGCACCAGGACTGACTGAAGCGAAAGCTTGCTAAGCTGCTAGGTTAGGTCGACTCACAATTGTGGAGCTGGGCAGCAGGAAAGTGCTCTACATGGCAGTAAGATCGCAGAGGGAACGTCGGAAGGGAGAATCTCGCCCGACTCACCGTGAACGGTAGCAGGCAGCGGCAACGATTCGCGGCAATCGCCCAAATGCCGAAAACGCGAATCCGGCTGTGACTGTCAGAGTTACTGCACCCAATCACTCCCCTAACCAGCTCCAAGAATTCTCGCTATCATCGCCACAGCCGCAACCGTGAACACCCGCACGGAACATGTGGTCAGTTTCAACTCTGGCTCAACATGGCTCGAAAGACTGCCTGCTGACAGATCCCGAAGATGTTAATCGAGACTTGCCCATGCGTTTCCTCGCAGGCGTTGAATCCAAGCCCCCCAAAAGAGATTGTGAATAATGGTTGTGACTTATGATTAAACTCTCCATCTTGGAGTCATGCAACGGATGTGGATTGCTTATGTACTAAAAGTATTGAGTTCTGAATCACCCCGGAATGTAGGATTGCGATCCTCGTAGTAAGTCCCCCTGGTAGTAAGAATTCTTGGACCTTGCAGTCCTTGCACATGTCCACCATCCGCGTTCCGCCTGGCACTGCCGCCTACTTCACGGCGGGCTTGGCAGTGGGATATGCTGCTTGGCGGCATTGCTGATTTCAGCGAGTTGGAGCAAACTTCAAAGAACACATGTCAGAATTATGGGCATGATTGCAGCTTGCTTGTACACTCAGAAGACTTTCTACTAGGGCAACAGGAGATGTCATTAGGGTTTACTATTTTTGTTTCCCAAAGCAGTTGCATTGAGAGTTTGAAGTGCTCCGGGGTGGGGATTGCTCGGCCCTTTGGCCGCAGCTGAAACGTGTCCAAAGGAGTGCTACACGACCCAGGACGCTAGGGATTGTACTCATTACAAACTTTCGATTCTTCGGGTAGCCGCTCCGCGCGTTTGCGCAACAGCTTCTTGGCAAGCTGGGTGTTGGGGTGATGAAGTCCCTAAGCCTTACACCCAGACTTTAAGGAACTGGGAATATTTTCAGCAAACCTGTGCAAGCTGCTCAAGTTACCGGGAGAGGCATGGCGGACTAATCTACTCTTGCTTTCGAGCTCTCGAGCTGCAGCCAGTATTGGCAAGCTTTGCTCATGCTCTCGGATTTCCACGGACCCATCACATGCATTCCCAGTGTCGTGGCTGCTAGTTTTGCACTCTTGCATATTTTGGCCCTCGGTACCCTCATCAGGCACCATCGTGGATTAGGGACCCATCGCCCAAGTGCGACCGTAAAACAAATTTAGAAAGAGTGTCCCGAAAGTGTCTGGAGCATAGATGGATGTTCATGACTGAGACCCTCACGTAAACCATCAAGCCTTGCTCCAAGCTCCCACATCATCCTATGCAGCGGAAAGCCCTTGGTAACGCTTGGGGTGTAAAGTACGAAACGAAGCTTCCTTGAGGCTTTCTTCCACTGGTGGGTCTGGGATTGCCAACACCGTGCCTTCCCTGCCGCCGGGGCCGCGAAAGGATTTTCATGAGACGTGAGGTTTTGTTGGGGTTTAGGGGTTTGAAGGTTTAGGGTGGTAATTTAGTCGTAATGCGTTATACCAGGGGTCACATACGACTCAATCTGGCCTCAGGTCTTGCAAGCGGGATTGAATATTGCCGCGCCATACTCAGACACGTGCTGTTGCAATGTTGTTTTGTAGTCTGGGGTTGCGGCAAAGAGTAAGATCCTACAGCATACAACAATCTGTCCATGGGTTTCTCAAGATTTTGAACCTCCTTTGTCATCGTGAGGATTATGATGGGTATGGTTTCGTGGGGATCTTACTCTGTTTTGAGACAGAAATACACTGAAACAGCTGAAGTTTATGGTTTCCAGGGTGCGCGAAGGGTTGAGGGTTTAGGATTTAGGATTGGTCTTTCGATTCCTTTCGTTCCACCTTTGCCGTGGTCAGTTCTTCTTGCATGGGGAGACGGGGCACATCACTTGGCCGTCGCGAAGCACCATGTCGAGACTCCAGGTCGGCTCCAAGTTTGCGGTAGGAGGACCAAGAGTCCCAGGGGCTTCAAAGGGCCACCCTGAAGCTGCAAACCCGGAACGGCCCTAAACCCTAAAGCGAAGGCTTTGCGCGGCACCTACCCGGCTGTTTGGTCGATGCCTTCGGCGCATCGCCTGACCCTGGAGCGGCTCTGGAGGCGTTCCTTCTCTTCTCACGCTAACCTTAGTCTGACTGAAGTATGGCATTCATTGAAATACATCGTATAATAACCAATGTGCAAATAAACAGGTACCTATATCTATGTATCAACAAAACCGACAACAGCACGTCGGATAGCTGGCAGCCCCAGTGCTCGCTTCATCGATCATGGGAAGGGCGTGCACGATGGTGCCATGCAGATCTTCGTCAAGACATTGCCTGGCAAGGCTGCAGTAGATGTGGTGATATGTGGTGGTTGCCCATGACCGAGCCACAGCTACACTTGCACAAGCATGCTGGCAGAGGCACTGGTGTGGCCCACAATAACTTTGCTCCTGCAGGCCCTATGTTAATGCAGACGCAGCAGATCTCTGGCTTGATGGCCCAGCGGGAAATACACAGCTTGGGGGCACAGTTGTGCAAACTTCTCCTTCGTAGCTTGGACCGACCAGGGGTGACATGCGGACCTATTGAAGGACCTTTACTGGCAAGACCGCACGTCACTTTGGACTCAGTCGCGAGTCCCATCTGGACAGCAAGCGCCTGTCGAGGGCAAACAGGCGCAAGCGCCCGACTCGGACTCTACCCCCGAAAAGCGAGATAAGCGATTGATATTAAACCTTACGAATGTATATACAACTGTACAATTACACAAGCAAGCTACAAAGCATACTGCAAACTAATATGCGAATGATGCTAGTAAGACTAGGGGTACGGAAGTCTGCCTCATGGTAAGAATAGTCATCGAAGAGCCCCTGCTCAGGTCTCTGAAGCCAAGCCTTCAAATTTGTGTTTCTGAGAGAAAGGCAGTACGGGGCTGCAAACTGCTACTCGGGCTTCGTGTGTTTCCTGGGAGGGCTACATCTGGCAGCGCAACAGACCCAACGAAGCGAGGAACGCAGCTTAACGGGGTAGTGTGATACCAAGTCGTGGTATATAGGCTTGCCTACAATTCCTCCTTTTTGCAAATACATTGCATGCTGATCGCGATGTTCAGGACGGCAGTTGCACTGGCAGCGTTGAATACAAGGTTTGTGTCGTCATTCTCACCTGTGCATTCATGAAAGTATCATAGCGCATCTGTCATCATATTGGAAAACGACTATCATAGTCCGTATCGACAAAGTATGCACTTGTTGGCTTGGGTTGAGCGATTTCATCAAAGTGTCCAGGGCGACGTGGGACTTGTGGAGGGTTTGTAGGGCTTTGAGCAGTTTCCTGGTTCACGCCGCCGAGCACTGTAATTGACCAGACGGCCAATGAAATTAACAAGTTTCCAGAGAAACAGCACGGCTTCACAAAGATCCAGGTCCAGCAAGCCTTACGGAATCCATATTCAGGACCAGCGCCTGCTGGGTAGCCCTTGGAGCTGTTCGTTTCGACATTTGTCGTCCCCAAAAAACTGCACCAGAGTTACGAGAGTATGCGTTCGTAGAAGCACAGCAGCTCCACAGGATGTTGATATCGCAAGTCCACCACGAAGGCGCTTCCAATACTTTTTATCCCATCAGAAGGTCCCCACAAGTTTCCAGAGGCTGCTCACGATTCCATTCCGGCGCTTACCCGACCCGGGGAGATGACTTCAGCAGAATGTTTATGACTTTTTTGATTGCTTGCTAGGCCTTTCTTATATGAAAATCTCATATGCTTGTTTATGGATATGCTCCTATATGTATGTGTATATATATATATATACGTATAAACAAATACCTTTATTGGACCTGGCCTGGGCCTAGTTTGCGTCGTTTCCGTTCCAATTCTTTGGTGGGTCTCCTCTTGAGGGGTTTCTATGGCTAGTCGTTGGTCCTCAGCTAGTCCTCAGTATCGGTCCCTGACATGGAGCTGGCCCACATTAGAATTCGCTAGAAGGTCTCGACCTTGTGTCGAATCCAACTTCCATCAATTGCGGGTTAGGACCTCTACATCATCGGCGCGCCAAAGTCTGGCACCAGTGCTTTG